TGCTAATACGCTTGGTAACACATATCGCTGCTGCACTTGGCGCTTGGGGCGTGGGACGTGGCACATCTTGGTGAGCGGCCAGAAGATCCCGCCCACTCCACAGAGGCGGCCGGAGCCTCTCTGTGATTGGTTGAAATAATCCTATTCAAGCGATGCGATTGGATGAAAAGCTGGTCGGTTTTGCCGGGAAAAGGCTGTGGGCAGCATTTACCGGATTTGGGCAATGGCGACGATGGAGCCGCCGGCCAAGAAGGCGCGCGTGCTCAAGACGCAGGCGAGCGCGTGGCCGCGGAAGGAGATGGCCCCGGTGGTGGCCTCGGAGGCGGCCGTCCGCTTCCAGTGGATCGACATCAGCATGTACGACGGCGAGCCGCTGGCCGAGAACCCGTACTCGCGGACGCAGCCGATCCCGGGGCCGCGCACCGGGAGCACGTCCATCATTCGCCTCGCGGGCGTGACCGAGGAAGGTCATAGCGTCATGGCGCATATCCACGGCTTTGTGCCCTACTTTTACGCGTCGTGTCCGGACGGCCTCAAGGCGGCGGACTGCGGCCTCGTGCGCGAGGCGCTCGACACAGTCGCCAAGAAGAACCCGTCGGACGCGACTGCGATCCAGGGCGTCGAGATCGTCGAGAATATGATGTCGCTCTACGGGTACCAGTTTGAGAAGAAGGTGCGCCTCATCAAGATCTACCTGAGCCTCCCGCATCTCGTCCCGCGCGTGCGGTCGGCGCTCGAAGCGGGCGCCGTGCACATCCCCGGCTTTGTCTCGCGGTCGTACCAGACGTACGAGTCGAACGTCCCGTACATTCTCCGGTTCATGATCGACAACAACGTGCAAGGCTGCAACTGGGTCGAGATGCCCGCGGGGACATACCGCGTCCGGCCGGCCCATAAGCACGTGTCCAACTGCCAGCTCGAGCTCGACGTCGTGTACATGAACATGGTGAGCCACCCGCCGACCGGGCAATGGGGCAAGCTCGCGCCATTGCGCATTCTCAGCTTTGACATTGAGTGCATGGGCCGGACCGGCCATTTTCCCGACGCCGACGAGGTATCGCTTTCGACTCTATCAATGTATCAACGTGATATATAGGATCCGGTGATCCAAATCGCCAACGTCGTGTGGGAGCAAGGCGCCGAGCACCCGCTCGTCCGCAACGTCTTTGTCCTCGGGACGTGCAAGCCGATCGTCGGCGCCCACGTCATGGAGTTTGAGACCGAGTCGGAGCTCCTCGAGGCGTGGGCCGCCTTTGTGCGGCAGGTGGACCCGGACATTCTCACGGGCTACAACATTGACAACTTCGACATCCCGTACCTGATGAACCGCGGGAAAGCGCTCAAGCTCAGCCCGCAGTACGCGTGCTGGGGCCGCCTCAAAAACATGTATCCCACAAGGTCTCATAAAGACAAAGTGTCTCATCTCGAGCGTAGTGCCAACATTATGGAGAAGAAGGCGTTCCAGTCGGCGGCGTACGGCAAGAGCGACAACTACCGGACGACGATGCACGGGCGCACGTCGTTCGACATGCTGCCGATCATTCGGCGCAACCAACAGCTCTCGTCCTACTCGCTCAACTCAGTGTCGGCGATTTTCCTCGGGCAGCAAAAAGAAGACGTGCCCCACGGTATCATCTCGGACCTCCAGCGCGGCTCGGACGACGACCGCCATCGCCTCGCTGTCTACTGTCTCAAAGATGCGATGCTGCCGCTGACTCTGCTCCAAAAACTGAGCTACCTCGTCAACTACGTCGAGATGGCGCGTGTGACGGGCGTCCCGCTCGACTTTCTCATCGATCGCGGCCAGCAGATCAAGGTTTACTCCATGTTGCTGCGCAAGTGCCGCGAAGCGTCACTCGTCGTGCCCAACCTCCCGCGGTCCGGCGCGGGCGACGACGCGGGCTATGAAGGCGCGACTGTCATCGAGCCCATGAAGGCTTATTACACGATGCCGATTGCGACGCTGGATTTTGCGTCGCTGTATCCGAGTATCATGCAAGGCTACAACCTCTGCTACTCGACGCTCGTGGCGCCGGGCGACGTGAGCAACCTCGCGCCGGACGCATACGAAACGTCGCCGTCTGGCGACGTCTTTGTCAAGAGCTCCACCAAGAAGGGCATTTTACCGCTGATTCTCGAAGAGCTTTTGAGTGCGCGCAAGCAAGCCAAGCGCGACATGGCCACAGCGCCGGACGCAATGACGAAAGCTGTCCAGAACGGCCGGCAGCTCGCGCTCAAAGTGAGCGCCAACTCGGTCTATGGGTTCACTGGCGCCAACGTCGGCCAGCTGCCGTGCATTCCGATCGCGTCGTCGGTCACAGCGTACGGTCGACAGCTGCTCTTCAAGACGCGCGAAGAGGTCGAGCGCGTCTTTACGGTTGCCAATGGCTACAAGCACGACGCGCAAGTGGTTTATGGTGACACGGACTCGGTCATGGTGAAATTTGGCGTCTCGACCGTCGAGGACGCGATGCCATTGGCCGAAGAAGCCGCGCGTATTGTGTCCGACATCTTCCCCAAGCCCATCAAGCTCGAGTTCGAGAAGGTCTACTACCCGTACTTGCTCATGAACAAGAAGCGGTACGCGGGCTTGCTCTGGACCAGAGCCGACAAGTTTGACAAGCTCGACACGAAAGGGCTCGAGACTGTCCGGCGCGACAACTGCCTCCTCGTGCGCCGCATGGTCGAGACGATTCTCAAAAAGATTCTGATCGAGCGCAACGTCGACGCGGCGATCACGTATACCAAGGGCATCATCTCGGACCTGCTCCAAAACAAGGTGGACGTGTCGCTCCTTGTGATCACGAAAGGCTTGAGCAAGACGACCGAGTCAGCCGACTACAAGGCCAAGCAAGCGCACACGGAGCTCGCGGCGCGCATGAAGAAGCGTGACCCGGGGTCCGCGCCCGTGCTCGGCGAGCGCATCGCGTACGTCATTATCGACAAGGGCAAGAACACGCCGCTGTACGAAAAGGCTGAGGACCCGGTGTACGCGCTGACGAACAACGTGCCGATCGACTGCGACTACTACCTCACCAACCAGCTCCAAAACCCGATCGAGCGGCTCTTTGAACCCATCATTGGGCTCGCCAAGGTCAAGAGCGATCTCTTCGCGGGCGACCATACGCGCAAGCGGTCCAAGCCGGGTCTGGTTCAGAATTCGGGTGGAATGATGAACTTTGCCGTGAAAAAAGCCAAGTGCCTCGGCTGCAAGGCGCCACTCAACGGCGACGGCGCGCTCTGCGCTGCGTGCCTCCAAGACGAAGCCACGGTGTACGCCAAGCAGCTCAACGTCGTCGTGACGGCTGAGGCGCAATATGCGCGGCTCTGGACGCAGTGCCAAAACTGCCAGGGCAGCTTGCACCAAGAAGTGCTCTGCAAGAGCCGCGACTGCCCCATCTTTTACAAGCGCATCAAGGTCCAGAAGGAGCTCGGCGAAGCCCAGCAAGCGCTCGAGCGCTTCCAGTACGAGTGGTAGTCGACGTACTTCATATAATTTCACTGTCCATCGTCCTTGGCGACATACAACCGTTCGTGGACGCGATTCAAAATGGCGGTTTGGGCAACAACCAAGCTCGGGTCGGTCTCGTTCAGAATCAACGACCGAAGCTGCAGCCAATCGTCGGTGGCGAGACGCGATGAGGCGCTGTCGTCATCCCGCGTCGCAGGCTGCTTCCAAAGACTCGGAAAGGCCGACGAGAAGAAGGCATCTTCGATGATGCCGATGCACACCATGAGCACCACGTACGTGAAGAGCATGATGTACGAGTAGAGGTAGATCTGGTCGCGCGCGTCAGAACAGATGTGTACAAACTCGTACCTGGCCCAGCAACGGCGTCGCGGCGAGCGAGTCGAACGTCAAGCGCACTTCGTCTCCGTTGGCAATCGCAAAGAGCGTCGTCGCTGTCGTTGTGAGTCCCTGAAAGCGGGGCACCTATCGATTGTGGATTTTTCAAAGTCAAATTTTGTGAATGCAAGAAATCAAAGTACTTGGCTGCCAAACATGACGGTGCCAAATAGCACGTAGCCGACAAAGAGCGGGCAAACGCCAATGAGAAACTCGAGCACGCGCGGCAGCCCCCGTCGCAGCGTGAGGCCCAAAATGTAGAAGCGCGCGTTCGCGTGCAAATACCGCAGCGACGAGACCCACGCGAGACCACACGCGATCGCAAACGTCAGCGAGAGCTGCTCAAAGTAAGCCAAGTGCCCGGCGTACTGCCACGCCTACACCGCGCGTGACGCAACGTGCATCGAGCGTTGACCGACCTGGATCGAGACGGCGACAGTCGCGAGGTTCATGCAGAGCACGACAAGGCACCACGGCTCCGTGTAGTACAAGTGGCGTCTACGCCGAATGAACCACCTTGCGCCACAATATGACGGTGTCAGCTACCCAATGGTTTCGAGGCTCGTCGCGCCAGGCAGCGTCGCGACGAGGTGGCCCAGCTCGAGGAGCTAACAGCACGTTCGATTGCAGGCGCAAGGCCAAGTGGGAGGTACCTGGTACAGCACAGCGAGCGCGATAAAGAACACGTAACGCGGAATTAAGTCTTTCGGTGTCGCTCGGAGCGTGAGGCTCGGGAGCAGCCGACGCACGCGCATCTGCCCGTGGAGCTGGCCCTGCGCCGAGAGGTCGTACGCGAATGAGACGTTCCAGTTGGTGAACTCAAAGTCGGCGTCGTCCTCTTCGCGGGACGGCGGGTGCGATTCAACGCGCACCGAGATCTCCATCGACACGAGCGCGTCGAAAAAGACGCGCGAGACGTCGTGGTGCGTGTTGTAGCGCAGCCCGACGGGCCAGCACGACTCGTTGCCGCGCTGTAGGTCGTAGAACCGCTCGACCTATATGCATTGCAGTACTAGTACTACACCAGAAGCGCGCCGTACCTCGTCCGTGCCCGTGGCCGACTCGATCACGCGCAGTGTTGGACAGGCCAGTGCGTCGATGGTCTCTACCGCCATATGAGCAGCGCCAAGCCGACTGTACATGGAGGCGTACCATCGGCGCCGTCGCAAGTCGCGACGCGGAACCGGCCAAGCGCGACCTGCGGCAGCAAAAAGTAGTTGTCGAGCAAGGTATGGACTTGCGCAATGGTGTCGTCCATCGTGTAGAGCTCGTAGTCGTGCGACCGGCTCGGCGGCAACGCGCTCAAGAGCGTCCAGAGCTCATCCGCGAGGCCGCGCGTGTAGGCCTGGAGGCGGTTGTCCACCTGGCTCGCATGCAGCGTGAGGCCGACGACGAGGAGCGCATGCACGGCGCAGCGCAAGATCCACGTCCCCATCTTCGCGACGAATTATGCGGATGCCATCCGGATATCCGAGACCAAGCGAGCCTGTATCCCAGGAACCGGCAGTCGCCGTTTGGTCGTCGCTGCCGGACAAGAAAGACTGCGAGATGGCACAGCGCGGTGCTCTAGCTTGCTACGCAGGTGCGTCTGAAACTCAAAACGCCCTTTTTGAGTCAATGCGTGAAACTCAAAGCATCGTTTGAGGTCCAACTGACTACGATCACGTCTTTGACACACTTCAAGTGCCAACACGGCAGCCACCGACAATGTGACGTGGTCGCGGAGGAATCCCCTAGTCGCTGATGGACGCATAAGTGCCACATGTGGGATCTCTGAAACGTACTCGCGTCAGCCGCCGGTACGAGCCCTACCCACTGCGGCGAGCGCAACCGCTGGTCGAGTATACAAACCACAAGTGAAATCACGGGCCGCGTTACGTGATCGGGCCGACGGTTCCCATCGCAGGACGCTCCTTTCGGCCATTATCCCATCATCTTGACGCAATTTGGCGCCGAGAGACGCGGGGGGTCAATGGCGTATTCGCGTAGGCGTGGCTACTGGGTATGGCGTCGCCCTACATCCGCTCGAGCGCAGAGAGCTGCCGCACGTCGGATCACGTTTATGCACAATGAAAAGGAAAGATCCGTCACGAGATTGTGGTGGTTCCGCCGATATTTTTGGCCGCGCTGGCCAATGGGACGCAATGGCGGCCAACGACGTCAGAACACCAAAACGAGTTTGGCCGTCGACACCCGATATATGGACCTCGCTTTCCTTCTCAACCCCGTCGACGACCGGAGGAGTCTGTCGCCTACGTCGCGCCTCTCACATGCGACGCCAGGCTGGCCACCCAAGCGCCGCATCGACACAGCCTGGAACGACCTCCTCTCCAAGCGCTACAAGCCCTACGGCAACCTAGCACGCCACGAGATGCCAAGCCGAAGCAAACTGCTCGAGACCGCGTTGGCACCGGAGAGTGTCGACTGGTGCGCCACGTTCCTCGACGTTGGTTTTGACGCCAACAGCATCTTCAACCAGATCTGTCCGCTGCGCAAAGGCCGGTGGCGCAAAGAAGAGGAAGCCTACGCCATCGAGCTCGTCAAGATGGTCCACGCCAATCGGCTCCCGCTCAAGTTTCGCCAGTCGCTCCGAACGTTCCTCGCCCAGAAGCTCCACAGCGACGAGATGCGTGTGCTCAAGAAGGTCGGCAACTCGGACGCGTTTGCGTTTGCGCGGCAGCGCGGCCACGCGGACGAGGTCGCCGTGACAAGGCCGACGTACGAGAACGAGCGGTCGATCGAGCCGCTCGAGACGCTGCGCCGGGCGTTCTTGAGGTCCGTGCAGCTTGACGCGATCGTGGCCGCGCGTGAACACTTGGATTAAGAAACTAGCCAGGGTGATTATTTTGCCGCATAAAAGGGAATGATGTTGACTGTCGCATAGTCTCAGCAGTCCTAAATAAAGGTGACAGCAAGCAACCCAGGTCCGTGGCTTGCAGCGATATCGTACGTATCCTAGCGTGGAAGGCCGGTCGGTGCAGTTTGTTGGCGGACGTTTGGGTACGATCACATCGCCGAGTCGTTTCGCTCTTGTCCCAGCGATGGAAGGTGGGCAGCCTCACGGCTCAGAGGGAGCGACATACGTCAAATTCTCAACGATAGTCCCTACGAACGAGTATACGTAAACTCTTCTTTCTTGAATTGATCCATTCGAGAGAGAGAGCGAGAGAGAGAGAGAGAGAGAGAGAGAGAGAGAGAGAGAGAGAGAGAGAGAGAGAGAGAGAGAGAGAGAGAGTACTGCCGCTTACAACGAGCTCAAAAGTCCCGTTGTCCATTCAGTTGACGAATTTGTAATTTTATCGTAGAAATGTATTTATTTACGGTCTAGGTTATCTTCCTAGTCGTCTCCCATCGTGGGAGAATCTAGCAGCGCTTGTCCATCATACTCGCGCAGCGCAATCACGACTTCGATCTGCACCGACTTCAAGAACGCCCGGCGCAGCGTCTCGAGCGGCTCGATCGACCGCTCGTTCTCGTACGTCGTCCTTGTCACGGCGACCTCGTCCGCGTGGCCGCGCTGCCGCGCAAACGCAAACGCGTCCGAGTTGCCGACCTTCTTGAGCACACGCATCTCGTCGCTGTGGAGCTTCTGGGCGAGGAACGTTCGGAGCGACTGGCGAAACTTGAGCGGGAGGCGATTGGCGTGGACCATCTTGACGAGCTCGATGGCGTAGGCTTCCTCTTCTTTGCGCCACCGGCCTTTGCGCAGCGGACAGATCTGGTTGAAGATGCTGTTGGCGTTAAAACCAACGTCGAGGAATGCGCTGCGGAGGTCGGCGTGGCTCTGGTAGAGGCCATTGCAAGTGGAGTTTGCACTGCCCATTTGGGTCAAGTGCGGGCGAAAGCTCGCATTGTCGATGTTGCGCGTCGGGGCTTGGGATCGATATGGGCCGCTGCATCCTGGTGCCACAGTCGAGAAAGTCGAGTAATGGTGACGCGTAGTCGTCACGACGTGGTCAGTGCGGGGTCGCTTGGGGAACACAGTGCAGAAATCTGCTTCGCGACGTCGCTTGCACGTCTTGTCGTCGAGGAGGTTGACGGTCGATGCCTGCCGGGGCTCCGGTCGGTGGAGGTCACTGCTTCTACGATCGTGGTCCAGCAGCCCGACGCACGGGTTCAGCAGCAAGCGGAGATCCATCGGACAGCGAACAACTGCAACTGCGTTGTTGACGTGGGACCCATGCAACGTTTCGGATGGTGTTTTTGTGCTGAAACCGACTTTGAGGCTCACGGATTGGTTGAAATTTTGATGGAAAACTCTTTTTAGCCAATGAATGTGCACGGCCGGTTTCACGTCCTGACCGCGAAGTTCGATTGGCCAAAAAAGAGAAGAATTACGCCACCATCGTTGCGGTTGCGTTTCGAGGGCCACGTTCGAAGGGGTCATGGAGCTTCGAACACGACATCGACGTATCACTTCCAGTGCTTTGAAGCCCGTCGCATATGACATGGTTTGCAGTATAAATGCACAGGGAACGTAGTATGCTCAAGCTTGTGTCTTGTTTGCAAACTTTTCCAACGAATCTAAGAAAAGCGTGGGAAACGCTGCTATTTTAAGCGAATTGCTCGATTGGACTCGGTGGCTACGGCTCGCGCATGATTTGCGAGAACCGGGCGAAAATATTGGATGTGCCTTCGCGCCAGAGAGGGCACGCAGCTTGTAGAGTGAGACGCAGGACGACAAC